TTTGTTAGTGAATAGATCACGAGTTCGAACTTCGAACTTCGAACTTCGCATCCTGATGCAATCACGCAAATACAATAACAAGGGTTAGGTGTCGCCCTCTTAAGAGGAAAAACCATAGAAAGAAAAAAGCAGTTTAAAACACAGAAAAAACAAACAAACAGAGAGGCATGCATACATGTCAACAGGGTTTATCGCTCCACTACTCAATGTTCTGCATGAATTTGGTCGCCTTTGTGGAGCAGGTGCATTTGAAAGAGTCCAGTATTTTGAATTTATCGTGATGATTATGAGCTCCAGATACACATGTAAAAGAGTGTTGTGGAGTTCCACTCACTACACAACACTCTACATGTATCTGGAGCTCATAACGTTCTAGATGCATTTGGTCGCCTTTTCTAGACCAGGTGCATTTGAAGGAGGCCCCAAAACACTCGGCAACAGAGTTTACTAAACGCACCTTCCACCATTGTTTCTGCGTCGAAGATGTTCGTTTCTTCTTGTAGAAGCATAAAGTCGTTCATAATCGCCTCCAATTTGGCTTCCGTAGCTCCAACATTTACAACAAAAAAAGTCGTAGACGACATGATCGACCCCTTATAAACAGTGCCCTTGATGTCCAGAAGGAGGGCTGCGCAGTCCTCCCCCGCATCTCTGACAGAGAACCGGCCCACGGAACCAACATCGCCGCTCAGGTCAAGAGGAGCAGCGTCGCTATCACACTCCACAAGAACCTGCTCCCACCACAGACAAAATCCAGCCCCAATCAGTCCATGCCAAATCCAAAAAGCACATTCTAGTATGATTCTACTATGATTCTTCTTTTTTTTTTTTTTTTTTTTTTTTCAAGTAAACAGGCCCTTATGGTCCTGGCTCCTAGGAAAAAAAAAAAAAAAAAAAAAGAGCGCATTCAGCCGTCTTGGCTTACTCGCCACTTTGGAACGAAGTCACATTGCAGATGGCCAACAACCTACCAACTGGCCTAGGTCAGTTGGTACACCTGTCAACTGTTGAAAATACACACCCGAGTTCAAACTCCACTGGCTGGCCTGGAAGCAGATGAGTGAAATACTTACTACAGTAATTCTGAATTACCTAGGGCCGTCAGTTCGACGATTACATCGCAAGGCCGTCGCCCTTTTGAAAAAAAAGGTTACGAAGGGGACCGATAAGGACCAAAGCAAACTCGGGTCGGAAGCGGGTGGTGTGGCAAGGATCCTAGCTTCAAGTGTGTAGTAGTTCAGTTTGGCTCAAATGCCCAAGCCCAGCCCCCATAAGGGCCATGCAGACTCTTGCCGTCGTCCCGTGGAGGGAGGGGGAAAAAAAATGCAGCCACAGCGGCAAGGCTGACAAAACTGTCCTTCCGAAGATGCAGAGCTGTGCACATAGGGGGAGGATGACCAGGGGTGCTCACCACAGTGATATCAGGATGTAAGGTTATGGGTGCAAATTTGCAAAATGAGAAAGCTTTACAGCACAAATACTAAGCAAACGCACAAACGAGCAAGTTGCGCGAGTACGTGCACATGCACTTAAGCATCTGCGCACATGTGCCTTCGCAATTCCACAACACAAGACATCCACAAACGGCAGTCCGCATAAACCTTCAGGTTTTGCCAAATAGTAGGTGCCCATTTGTATGGAATGGCTGCAGCACTGTTAGAGGGGCAGTGCTGTTCGGGATGCCTGTGTCTCTGTCTTTTCTGGTGGCAACAGAGATTCGTCCGGTGGTTTCCTGGCTGCCGAAGGTGGCGTGAACCTACAGCCTGCTCGCTTTTCCATGTGATTATTTATGACGTGAGCGGGCGATATTCCGCTCTGTTCCTTGCTGTGTCCATGCGTTTCAGAGTTGCTGTGCGCGCCTTGCTGTGTTGATGCCTTGGTGTGTGTGTTGAGTGCTGTGCAGTGTTATGGAGTTGTTGAGCGCGGGCTGGCGGACCCGCAACCGCACCCGCCCTCCCACCCGCTTGCCTTGCTCGGGCCTGGGCCTGCTGGATATATAAGTTGTTTTTTTCATTTTTTTGCTGCCTGTTTTTTTTTTTTTTTTTTTTTTTTTTCAATTGTTTGTTTATTTGCCCATTTGCAAAAGGGTGACCTGAAGTTAATTACAAAAAAGATGCTACCTGTGAACCGGAGTGTGGTAGGTGACCTGAAGTTGATTACGAAAGGCTCCGAAGATGCTACCTGTGATGACTATAGCAGACTGGAAGCTGGGCCAGAGTGGACCAGGTCCAAAGCTAGGTTTACAGGTGGTCCATACCTAACTCCTGACCTGGTCCAAACATTCTCCAGACTAGACCTAGGTCTACAGCCGGCCGTATGATATGATATACACGCATATTACACAGTGTGCTGTGGGGAGTATTGCATGACTATAGCAGACTGGAAGCTGGGCCAGAGTGGACCAGGTCCAAACCTAGGTTTACAGGTCGTCCATACCTAACTCCTGACCTGGTCCAAACATTCTCCAGACTAGACCTAGGTCTACAGCTGGCCGTATGATATGACATACACGGTGTGCTGTGGGGATTATTGCATGACTATAGCAGACCGGAAGCTGGGGCAGACCAGGTCCAAACCTAGGTTTACAGGTGGTCCATACCTAACTCCTGACCTGGTCCAAACATTCTCCAGACTATAGACCTAGGTCTACAGCTGGCAGACTGGACACTGGGCCGCACGACATGTGTGTAGGTAGATCATATCATACCCTGGAAGTTGGTACAGTTTGCAAACTGGTCCAGTTTCAGACCTTGGTCCAGCACCCAACCTAGATGTGGCCCAGTCTTGCCAGCTGGACCAGGTCTGGCAGACTGGACCACATCTAAGCTGGGTGCTGGACCAAGGTCTGGCAGAGTGTCCAGGCCGCTGGACACGACCACGTCCTGACCTAGGTCAGGAGGTGGTAGAGATGTGAAGACCTGTCCACTCTAAAGAGATGTCCCAACACTTTTCCCTTCTACTTCCTTATCTCTCTAACTTCATGAAATATTTTGAGTTGACCCTAGGGCAAGCCTTTTCCCATTGCCAATGCAGCCAGCTGGTAGTCTACTTTTCTTTTCCTGACTTTTTCCCAGATTTCTTCTAGTTTTTCTTGCACACAAAATTCTAAAAAAGATCATTCAGAAGTCCACAACATTTTATTTTCTTCTTCTGTAAAAAACTACGCTGTATTCTTCTCTCAAATTCTTTTTTGCCTTTCACTACCTGCCTACCGCTACTCCTAATGCTATATAGAGGGGACCCCTGCAAGCATAGCTACCTCACAATGAAGGGATTGCACGTTGACCCCCGGCCCAACAGAGGTAGTCAAACATATATATATTGTCACATAACTATGAACTAAAAGAGCGCACTTTGCGAAACAAACAGCAAAAATTAAAAATTAAAAACAAGACAAACATGAAGGGCACACTGAAACCATTCATTTTTCTCGTTCTTCTGTTAACTCCCCCTTCACCGTGCCTCTCACGTATAAGGCTCGCCACTGCCCCCATCCCCGTGTACCAAAATGGCCCACTTGTACGCTGTGAGAAAGAGGCAGAGTGAAGACGGAGGGGATAAACACAGGGAGGAGAGATGGAGAGCAGACAAACAAAGAACAATAAAGGGAAAGTAAGGGAAAGTACAGAGTGTGGAGGCTCAAGAATGAGTCTGTCCTTGACGACAGAGCGGACATAGATTGTAAGGATGAGCTGGATGAACACATGGAAGACCTAGCTGAGCATTCTCAGTGCAACAATTGCCACGACGGGTCGCATTGAGCATGCCCACCATACACCCCCGACAAATGGCATGTCCATTGCAGGCCGAAATGACGGAAGAACTGTCACCACAAAAGACCATGAATTCAGTAAAGCGCCCATGGCCACAAAATGGACATAGAGTATCTGGATGCAGAGGGTGCCTGCAGTCAGGAATGGTGGGACAGTCCTCTGCACACATGGATGCAGAACCATGTCATTGTAGTGATTGTGACAGAGACGATGGCGGCTACAAACGAGTGTAACAGTGTTTGTGGCTGTGCAAAGGAGAAGGTCGCACAGTGCTGGTACATTGTTTTGCTGCAGCATGGGGCCAGAGGAGTGATCTTCGACATAAAAGAGATTGCGGACGGTTTGTTGTGGCAAGAAAACAGCATCATTTTGTAAGAAATCAGTGACATCAGTCAGGGCATGGACCATGGTGTCGTTGTCCCACAGCTCCCGGTGGTCAAGAGGCATGTACTATGGCCACATGTAATGGTCAGGCCTGTGCACAATGCAGGCAGAGATGTGGGATGGAGGATTAAACCACTCACTTGCTCGAGCATTGCTTAGTTAAGTTGACGGTCCCTCATTGCCACTTGTAGGACAGCAACGGTAAAGCCTCCTTCGCTGGTATAATTACAATCCTCTGGCTGTAGTTGGGGAAGATCAGCGTCAAGCTGAAGGGCGATTGCAAGGAAGTCTGATGGCGTATAAAACGGGCGGTGGAGAATGTGAAGACAGATATTAGTTGCCGTCAGACCACAGAGATTGGTGAGGTTCTCAGGCTGGTTTGTTGGAGGCTGGCCAACAATTTGCAGATCACCCAGATGGTGTTGCAAGGCCATACTGTGTTGGGTTGTTTGCCGGTCAGTCATCGGCAGATCACCCATGTGGTCTGTGCGTGACGGAGCACAAATTTGTGGTTCACCCGAACAGTGCTGGTCAGCCATTTGCAGATCCCCCATGTGGTCTACCCCTTGTGGGGTCAACTGCAATCCGCGCAGATCATTTTCCAATCCCTCAACGTTTAGGGCTGCATCCTGAGTAGGGACTGTCCCTGGAGTCGGGAGTGTACTCTGGGCAGGGAACACATCGTGTGGTACAGGTGAGTCGTGAATATCTAACACCGCATGGTATAAAACATGGTGCCGTGGCTTCCTGCAGGCAGCTGGACTGTCTGCAGGAGGCATAGGAGCGGATATTGCTGTTTGAAACAAAGGAACCTCAACAACCTGTGGAGGAGGCACAGAGAGAATCAGGGACGATGTCGCGGATGTTGTCGGCGATACACAACAAGAGGAGTAGTGGTGTTGCAAACAGAAGATGAACTTGTCCCTAACAACGAAGGTGGAACAATGGGAACAATGGGAACTGGAGAGTCTGTTCGCAAGCGAGACCGTGGAGGAGATGGGGGTGGTGAGGAGGAACGTAGCCGTTTGCGGCCAAGCACAGAAAGAGATGAGAGGGGAGTGGATTGGGCAAGATTTCGGAATAAAGGACGTGAGTGTCGGAGAGACTGTGATGTTCTTTGCACTGGAGCTGCAGGAGAGGAAGCTGTAGCAGTAAAACTACACTAGGGGGATTTACAGTTATGGAAACTGTTCTACTGAAAACTGCAGCAGTGGAAACCGCAGCAGCAGAACTGTAGCAGTGGAAACTGGAGCAGTGGAAACTGGAGCAGTGGAAACTGGAGCAGTGGACACTGCAACGGTGGAAACCGCAACAGTGGACACTGCAGCAGTGGAAACTGCAGGAGTGGAGACTGCAGCAGTGGAAACTGCGGTAGCAACAGATGAGCAAGCAGGGGCAGGACAAGAGCGTTGTGGGGGCGAAGAAGAAATTGGATGATACAAGGACCATCGCAGCATGCGCTGGAACCACTGAGAAAGATGCGTCACATGTGTAGGATAGCGACGCTGGCAGGAGCCCATGTAGCAGGTCCACCCCTTAGCAAGGGTTGGTGGGGAATGCGCACGCGAAAGCATGCGACGAGTAAGTGTTGTTGCCGCAGTTCGAAAGTCCTGCCGATTGTTACAGATTTGTTCAAATCTGGTCAATAGCCCAGTGAGCACACCAGCCGGTTGATGGGAAGGGATGTTGGAGGTCGCACTTGGATAACGAATGACAGGGATGCCCCAAGCAGTCGCTTTATCAAAGATGCTCATGCGAAGCGAGCCATCGGAACGGACCCGTAGATGCATACCTAAAAAGGTACACGAGCCATCTGTCGCTGTAGTCTCTTTCCACTCAAGCCCATAGTGCTCTGGTGGAGGTAATTGTACCCATGAAAGAGCATTATCAATGAGGCGATAGGTGAAGGCATATTGCCAGGCAGCTTGAAGATCATGTTGACGAATGTCATCAACAAAGCGTGGTTCATCTCAATACAGCATCAGATTAGAAATTTATGGGCCAGCATTTGTTCCCATTGGAATACCGATAATTTGTTTCCGAAGTGCGGCATCTCTAGTGTACAGAAAATTGCTTCGTATATATTGTGTTTTGTATGTATATATATTGTCACATAACTATGAACTAAAAGCGCGCACTTTGTGAAACAAACGGCAAAATAAATAATTTAAAAAAACAAGACAAACATGAAGGGCACACTGAAACCATTCATTTTTCTCATTCTTCTTTTAACTCCCCCTTCACTGTGCCTCTCACGTACAAGGCTCGCCATATTGATGAAGTTGAGCGCGAGCTGCCCCCATCCCCGTGTGCCATAACAGCCCACTTGTGCGCTGTGAGAAAGAGGCAGAGTGAAGGGGGAGGGGATAAACACAGGGAGGAGAGATATATCGTCAAACAGATATATATAGTGAAACCGAGCTGCCCGGTAAACCGTACGCAGAGAGGGAGAAGACGACAACAAACGAGGGGCTGTGACAAACTGTTTCGTCAGAGTTCCACCGACTCATCAGGAGGCTATAGTCAAACAGAGCTGCCCAGTAAACCGTAGGCAGAGAGGGATAGTGGGACAACAAACGAGGGCCTGTGACAAACTGTTTCGTCGGAGTTTCACCAACTCATATATATATCGTCGGTGAAACTCCGACGAAACAGTTTGTCACAGCCCCTCGTTTGTTGTCCTTTTCTCCCTCTCTGCCTACGGTTTACCGGGCAGCTCTGTTTGACTATATATATATCATCATCCATTTGCATTCATTCCAGACCAGCCTCCTGACATCCACGAACTGTATGCCGCATCTTCACATGTAATCTCCAGCTCCCTCTTTTCTCCTAGTTACAATTCTGAGCCCCTGTTACATCTTCGACGCCACACGGGTCCTACCGTACCCGACTTAGAGTTAGAGGGACATATTAGGACCTAAAGGCCCGACCTTGGAGGTACTACAGGCCGTAAAGGCCTTACCTTGGACCAGACCCGACGGGCAGGCCCAAACGACATTACCGTCTGGGCCTGGCGGCGCTCTTGAGGCTGCCGCCCGCCGGTTGGGGCTGAACCGTCCATCTTGACGGTTCAGGGCACGGCCAGGCCTCGCAGCATTGAGGCCGGCCTCTGCCCCACCGGTACAAAAGTACCGGTCCAGCCTCATTAAGGCTATCGACCTACCGGCATTCTACCGGTACGGTATGGTACAGCGCGAAACAGCGCTGGCGCTATGTTTAGCGCAGGAGCGAGGAGCAGCGCAGCGCAGCAGCAGGGAGCGGAGCAGCAGCCGCGGCGACTGAGTATATCGGCGGCCATAGCCGCCTGAGGTATCGGGAGTTGGAGGCTTCTCTCCTCCCTCCCATCGCCAGTCCCCTCTCTCCCTCTCCCCTCCTCGGCTCCCTTCTTCTTCTTCTCCTCAAATTCCATCTTCTTCTTCTTCTTCTTCTTCTTCTTCTTCTTCTTCTTCAGATTGGAGACTTATACTAGTTGGACAGAGATCAGGGTTGGACTTCGGTGGTATGAGACTGTGGTACTTACCGGATTGGAGACTTGGAGATTGTTGGGGTTGATACTTGGCGGCATCACAGTTCGGACACCGGTTACATTTGGACTCTGTATCTCTGACATTGGTGACTGATTGTCCTCGACATTTTGATCTTGTTGGATGACATTTTAGACTACCATATCGGTGACCTATCGGATTCTATCCGGTGCTGTCTACCTCCCCCACCTCCTTCGTCTCTCCTCCCACCTCTCATCTGTGTATGTGTGTACGGGATCTGGGCATCGTCTATGCTTGGCCCAGACCCCACCATCTCATGATTGTATGTGTGTGGAGTGATACCTATGTGAGTCAGTCTATGTGAGTCAGTCCGTTTATCAGACTTCCGCCGCATATATGCTCATCCTACATTGGTTGATCTTTGGTTCTGCCCATACTCATTGAAGTATGTAACAGTTTTGGTATCGGAGCAGACCATTTCACGGATCTGCTCACCAGGTAAGTCTGATTAGGAAGTAGATTGCTTTTTCAATCACCCAAATCAGCTCTGAATTACTATCGAGTTCAAAGTTGCAAATTTTTTTTTCTCTTTTTTGGTATTCTATTTATTTCGGCATTGCCGTTTCAATTCGGTATTCGGACTTATAATTCGGATTTCGGTTTTCTTCCGGTATGCTGTTTATTTGGGTTCCAATTAGTTGATACTAATCCAATACTTTGGTGGATTCGGATTTCTGATTTTTCAACGTATTAGGGTTGAATCAGTATCCTGTTGAAATTCGGCATTCTGATTACCACTCAGCATTGCGTTTTTTCGGCATTCTGTTGTAAATCCTATATTTCGTTTTTCTTTTGGCATTTTCCTTCAGTATTGGAAATTAGGGTTACGAATTTTTTTTTTTTGGTTTTCAATCAGCTTGGGGAATTCGAACGTTTTGGGACCGTAAATCCGGAAATTCCGCCGAAACGTGGAAAATCAGAGTTGGGACCGAAATTTTTGCGAAATTTTTTTCGTTCCCCTTGTTTGAGAAATTCCGAAAACGGGTTTAGGCCTTTAAAAATCGGATTTTGACAGTGGAAATTCCTGAAAATTCACGTTTTTTGGAAATTCGAGTGTTTTTTTTTCCTGATTTTTGGTCCGAAAATTTTTTTGGCAAACTAATCCGACTCTGACCCTCAGTATTGCAACTTCCGGGTAGTTCACTAATTAACGGTGAACTCCCGGACTCAAAGATGATTTCAATAGATACCTGATCTTGATAACAATTCAAATTCGCTCATTATCATTATTGCAAATATTGTTTTAATTGATTATCGTTAAGAAATCATTATTGCAAAGATTGTTTATTGATTAGCACTAAGAATTATTCTTTCGTATTAATCGTTATGCAAGGAAGATGAGCAATAGCGAATTCCAGAACTCAAACAGCATCATACATGAGTGACCAAATAGCCATGACCTCGAACCATAAGCAGAATGGCATCACGAGTTATACCAAATAAGAACACAGCAATAGTTCATAATTGACAATGCTGAAATTGTCTCTCATCATCATCAACGAAGATCACGAGTTGGTATCCTATTGGCGCTCGGCGCCCAGACTACAAGATGGCAGATCCTATCTAGCCTACTACTACAATGCCGAGGTTGACGTCAACAGCTTCACCGAAGTACGAGCATATGCGGCCAATGCCGCTCGTCTCAAGCACTAGGTATGACTCCCGCCTCGCTCTCAACCCCGATCCTCACCGCACAGATGCCTCTAGCACCCAAGGACCAACCTGCGCCCAACCCAGCTTACAGCAGGCAGCGTGGCTATGGCTGCCTGCTTCTTCCACACTCGCCCGTGAGTGCGAGGGCGCCAGCCAGCAAATACAGCAGCAGCGCTCTCGCCGCATGCAGCCAGCACCCGAATCTCAAATGAGGAGGCTGGCCCTTGCCTATATCCCCGTGGCCTGCCTGCGTCCAGTCCAAGAAGCTKCCAGTAGGCCCCGGTAGCCTGAGGCCCAGTCACGAGGAATGCAGGCATTGGGCCTGAAGTAGTTGCATGTGCCCAACTGCTTTCGGCCTGTGCTTGGCCCGGTACCCGTACCCAGCCCAGGGCCTGCTTTACATTCATTCACACGGGCGGCCCAGGGCCTGAGTTCATTCAACCAACTGATGCTGTGCAAATGCCTGAATTTCCCCATTTGCAGGGGTACCCTGAAAACGAGGCCCTGAGGGCCTGTCGTGCCTGCCTTCACTTAGGGCGGCCGACCTTGTTGCAAATAAGGCCCGTAGGGCTAAGCGGGCACAGCCTCGCATTCCCTCCTCCATATCTTCGTTAGTCCTCTGAGAAGATCAGTCTGCCGCCAGCTGGCGCTTTCCTTTCAAAACATCCCTCTCATAGCGGGCAACGATCTGAGGGGCGGT